TTCAATTCCCGAACACGGTGTCAAATGTGATTACGTTTGTAGTTGATCTCCCGTGATTCGAGGGTTTTTCTCTCCGATTCTTCTCGATTCTAAACTGCAATGCGATCATGGAACGAGGGCCACAAGTCCAATAACTAACCTGCAAGGCAATACGGTGTTGTAGACTTCGACTCAGTACTTCTCCTTTACTGAGCAGCGAACTCAACGATCCCAGAGGAGCTATCTCGAGCACGATGGCTCTTGGTCGAACAGACACACCCAGCATGGATATTATACTAGGGTGGTGTAGATGAGCAAGGAAGGTCACCTCTTGACGGAAAGACCGATGAGGATTTACATCACCCTCTGTATGAAATACCTGCAAATAAAACACCGTCAAAGTTTCGTAAAAAAAAAAATGCGCATTGTGATTGAAACTTCACTGAGGCACATGTCGAACGTCGAACTTCACATGAGCCGAACCTAATGACTTCAAAGAAAACCGCCTCGTATTCATTGTTTCTATTAGGTTCGGCTCATGTGAAGTTCGACGCTTGATCAGCTGAGCCTAAGAGCAGATTTCACGAGAAAAGCTGATGGTTTAAACTTGCCGTGACCGTGACGGTTAGATTGCTTGTATTCTGATTGATTCATAAAAGGAATATTGTGCGCTGTGATTGGTTCAATTGAAGTCACTAATTCTGCGCTTCTGGGACCGTGCCGTGTCACTTTCCCTTGTACTACTTTCCTCATTCTCCTCACCCGGCACAAAATGAAGGTATGAAGGTGAGAAGCGCACGTACAAACGCGCCGTGCCGTGACCGTGAATGTGCCGTGTTTGAATATTCTGATTGGATGAAAGGGTAACAGCAACCGCGCAATGCCGTGATTGGTCCAACAGATGACGTTTTCCGCGCTGTGCCATGCAGGAAACCATACCGTAAGCGTTTCTTAGTCATATGAAATACAATAATTCTGAGTGTAACATTAATAGAGACCCCACTCACTAAGAGCGAGACTATTTTAACAAGTTGTTGCAACCCTCTAATTACCTTAACAGCTACCATCTTGCCCATATATTTAGCTTTATACACCGTCCCATAACCACCATCACCAAGAACACAATCTTTCTTTTGTTCCAAAACCAATTTATTCTCATCGACGACCAGTTCTTTGTGCTTCAGGTCAGACAGTGCTACATCAGGGGCGACTCTCTCGATTGGCAACAGTTCAGATGTCTTTGGGCAAGCAATATCTTCGAACCTTAAAGCCTGTTCGACACATTCATCGATGGTGAAGGCATGAGAGTTTTCTTTGTCGCACTTGATGCAAGGACATAAACGATTAACCAATGGTAAACACTGGATGGGGTCTACACAACCTGAATATAAAAATACGAATATGTTACTTATGTCACCCGGGTTTACGGTCGAATCTTATGTCGTTCAATGTCTCTCACGTCACCCAATTGCCACTAGCTCTGTCGTTAAGGATAAGCTAATTTTCGCAAAACATTTCAAATGAYGCTTAATGTTGCACATGACGAACAGGGTGTCATTGAAACCTCGAGTACGTGAAGGGAAATTAAGGGCAAACTGGCGAAGCGAGGTTACAATCTCTTTATTTTTTGAGTTAGCGCATTATGAATGTACATATTAATATTATCATTATTATTATCATTATTATTGACACTTTATTGAGTTTGAATTTACATGGTAAACAGCGTAGCGAGATAGCGAAATATTATCAGCAGTAAACACGTTTGAATGCTAATTAGGTAAGCTAGATAGGGCGTAATTTCGTAACCTACCAGCATGACAGGATTAATAATATATACAATCACTTAAAACCAATTATTAATGTTCTTAAGATGCAGTTTAAATACTTGGAATGTTTGAAATGTCCTTAAGATGTGATTAATTTAAATGTTCTTGCAATGTTTACTGTGCAGCTTAATACCGCTTTCTGCATTCTAAGTAATACATCTTTGTATCTTGCTCCAAAGATATTCTTCATCTCAGGCTCCATCTCTTTAGACCA